TTGCCCATGAACGTGCAGTCATCCAGCCTCAGTGTACTCAGCTAGGATGACAACCACGTATCACTGCACCCCAAAAGGCCACTCACACACACCTTTCTAGAAATATGCAAAATGTTATTTAATCAAGTATCTGAACCAGCAACTTGGTACATAAAATTAACAATCACATGGCTCTGTGTGTGATCCCAACAAAAGAAATGAATGAATAAGTAAAAAATAACCTGAGAGAGATCCTGAATATACAGAAAGTAGCAGAGACAAGGCTGAGAGGAAGCACATCAGACTGAATGACCCCAGTAAAAGTCCCTGAGGAGGCTTCTGCTGCACTGCCACTTGAAGGATAAGGTGGCCAGGTAAGGTCATCTGCACCCGTACCCTGGCTACACCAAAGGCTGAGGCAAGAGGATGGCAAATTCCCAGCAAAACTGAGCAACTCGAAAATACCCTCTCAAAATTTTGAAGATTTGGATGAATAAAGCTATGGATGTAACTTGGTGGCTGGTAACTTAGCATGTGGCAAGTTCTGGATTCATTCTCCAGTACCACTGACAATTTAAGAATTTAAAAAAAAATCCAATGTGGTGCACAGCTATAACCTCAGCACTCAGGAGACTGAGGCAGGAGGATTCCCACGAGTGTGAGGTGAGCCTGGGCTACATAGTGAGTTCAAGGCCAGTCTGAACTATATATTGAGAGCCTTCCTTAAAAAAAAAAAAACAAAATGAAAGGAGTGGGACTTTACTCATTGGTATAACATGATTGTGAGAGGAAATTTAGATTGTGTGCAGACCAATTTCAAACTTCAACACTGTTAGGAAAAAATCATCTTCATCGGGTGGGTGAGTAATGACCTGATCTAGAAGTATACTGGGTAAGGTATCTTGTGATGTGATTTTGTTTGGAATACATTTTTGTTCTTCCCTGAGTGCTTATTCACTTGATAGGACTGAAATTTTTTATGTGTGGCCTTGAGACCTAGTGATGTTTGTAGTACCTCAAATTCCTTCATTTCTACAGGAGCTCTGCACACAATGGAAATACTTAGGAATTATAAATGAAGTAGGCTGGGAAATGATAGTAGTTAGGCTTCAAGGAAGATACCAGCAGCCAGTGTGGTGGTACTTGCCTGTTATCCCAGCACTCAGGGAGACAGAGTCAGGAACACCCATATCCAGTAGAACTTGAGCCATGTTAGGGACACACTGTCTCAAAATAGACCAAATAAAAAGGGCTGGGGAGGCAGCTAGGGGTGAAGGCCCTGGACTCAATCCCTAGTACCACATAGAACAAACAGCTGGCAGCCACTGGCCTCTTCCAGCCTAGCTTCCTTACCCTCTCACACTGTGCTAAGGTTGGACTTTGTGAACGTTAGCATAGAGAATGTGACTTCCAAGATGAGTTCAAAAGACACTGTACCTTCCATTCTTTCCTTATCCCTGCCTAACCTCTGCTGGCCTTCACAGGGAGCAGTCAGGGAACCTGTAACAAGGAAGTGCGCCTGCAGCTCTTCGTCCCCAGGAGAACCGGATATGACTTGGATCCCTGAACAAACTCAAGGAAGATGGAGCCAGAACCACCAAGTCCAGAGCTAATTCTACACCTCAGCTAAAAGGAGTACTAATCAGCTACAAAGAAGGATAAACTTGAGACTTTTATAGGTAAGTGGATGCAACTTGAGATCATACTCATAAGTGAAGTAAATCAGACCCATATGCGTAACCATCACATTGTCTCACTAGTGTGAGAAACTGAAAGAGTAAATAAGATCCAAAGGTACAACAGATACTGTGAACTGGGGAGAAACTGTTCAAAAGAAGAGAAACTGATGGGGAAAAGGGAAAAGGAAGGGAAAAGGGAAAATACATATATATGCACACAAGATAGTTATACAGCTAGTTTCTCTTCATTAAAAAGGAAGATCTGTGCTAATATTGTCTGGACATCATTTCATGCCACTATCTGGGACTCTGAGGAAGTACTACGAAGAGAACAATGTACAATGTAATAATTATTGTTACTCTCCTGATTTGCAACTCTGTTTTATTTTATTTCTATCTTTTTTCTTCTCTTTAAAATAAATTAATATCAACAAGAATTAAAACTGAGATAGGGGAATTGGAGGAAGGCAGTGGGGGGGTAAACAAGGGGGAAACAAGCGGTGGTATGTACAGGTAACCACTCCCCAAGAGAACTGTAAACTCCATGAACTGCAAACAACCACTAGTAAAATAAAATTTTAAAAATTTTCCAAAGGAAAAGGTCTGTTAGTGCAGCAATAATACACATGTTAAAGTACATATTAGCCATCTAGCGGGGGTGAAGAGGGCCCTAGCCAATGGGGAGTGAGAAACCTGCTCATTTGCATGGCTGCCAAGCAACACTTGTGATGTCACCAGCATGCTGTCACTTACTTGGCAGGACCTTGGCAACACTGCCAGTTAGTCTCAGATGCTAAGGGACTGTTCAGGTGAGCGCATCTCTTTCTGCTTTCTCCTTTATATCCATCCGCTAAGGTGAAGAAATCAAACCAAACCTGGCCCCTGACATTTCTCAGTCAACTGACGTACTTTTAATGGCAAGTTCTAGGGCCTACTGCGAACAGGAGTAGGCGGCTCCCATTTCAACCTCTGGACTTAGCCTTTGGGTTTTGAACCCTCAGTATCCATACAGTGTGAAAAATGTATTATATGGTGTTTTATGCTACTTCAAACCTTTTTAAAATTGTTGGTTGTGGGGAGTACTGAGGATTACTGGAGAGGGATTCTTTCACTGAGGTATTAGCCAGCTCCTTTTATGTTTCACATGGAGACAGGGTCTCACCATGTGTTGCCTATGCTGGCCAAGAACCTGCCACCCTCCTGCCTCTGCCTCTGGAGTACCTCAGAGTGTATGTGTGGGACCATTCCCAGCTTGAGCTGTTTTTATATAGGGAGACAAAACTATCAGGTACAAGATTTTGGTGAAGCTTTGACGAGTTTTAGTAAAAATAAAAACCTCCTAAGGAGGAAGAGGTAGGCGCAGGAAGATCAGGAGTTCAAGCCCAAGAGTTTAAGCCCAGTCTGGGCTTCACAGTGAGTCCAGTGGCATCCTGGACTAGAGATTCTCCTGCTTCTGCCTCGTGAGTGCTGGGGTTACAGGCTGTCTTGTTTAAAATTACTTTCAAAGTTCTCCTGCAGTATTCCCTGAAAATGTTTCATGTTCATATCTCTATATTTTATATTTAAAAATAACATAGAAATGTAAGCCTTAGACCTAGTACCCAACATTTTATATACAAGGTTACAAAGTACTTCAACTGAAAAAAAAAAACTACTTCAACTGAAATATCCAGATCCATATTTGAAAAATGCTGGACTATGATTTAGTGCTTCTCAATTTCCAGACTCCAGGAACAATGTAATGTAGCCCTAGATCATGCCCAGGTGCTGCGTGTTTTCTTTTGTAAAATTCCCTGGGTCTTAACTATTGAATTTTCGGGGAGGGGGTTGTTTTTTGAGACAGGTCCTCACTTTGTAGTGCAGGCTGAACTTGGACTCACTATGTAGTCTAAGCTGGCCTTGAATTCCTGGTGATCCTCCTGCCTCTGCCTCCTGAGGGCTGGCATCACAGGCTGTCCTATTTAAAATTACTTTCAAAGTTCTTCATGAGCATTCCCTGGGAATGTTTTATGTTCATATCTCATAATCATCAAATCTTCACACACTAATGATGAATTTTATTTCTGGAATTCTTCAAATGCCATATATAAGAGTGGGTGATCAATACCTGGTGTTGTTTTAAGGTAACTCTTAAAATTCAATCTTATTATATTGAAAATATGTATATACATTTTCTCTGAGAACATACCTCTAACCCCTGTGACACATGTCAGTCCCTACGAATCCTTTCCTTCCCTCTGCACCACGGCAGCTTCATGTATCTCAGTCTAGTGCCGGATCTACTCATTTCCATGCGTGTATTCTTCTTCCATTCACTGGAATAGGCACATCCCATAATAAAACAGTAATTCTGAGGGGTCTCTTGTTGTATCAAAAATTACCACAGACATTTTCATTGTGTCTTTAGTTTGAAAATATGTTTTGGGGAACATTCTATGTTAATATAACATAATTCTCAATCCTGATATTCCATAGTCAGTTTAGCGTCTTCCCCACCGAATGAGATCGGATCTCTTCAACACTGTGAAAAACTCAAAAACTAACACCGGTACTCAGTGTACGTTCACAGGGAGGACAGGTAAACAGTCTATGAATATTCCTGAACCTGTGTCTCAGTCTCAGTTTGTAAAGGAGGTGTTGATGTCAGGTAGCCAACAGAACTGGAGTGGCACTGAAGGAACTGACAGAGTGAAAGTAGGCTCTCCGGAACTCGTGCGGAATGCCGGGAGTTTCCCTGGTGAGTCTTTTGTCTTGGCACCCG